AACAGAAAACAAACCCAAACACGTTAAGTTTTACTACATTTAATAGACTTCATAATCTACAGACGCCGCAAGCCAACGCCAAACTAAGTGTGCAGCAGGAGTACAAAAAACCTCCTGCTCAAAGATGAGAAGTGACAGTGAAAAGTATCAGCAAAGGTGGTGTTTGGAGGGATGCTGGTGGAAAGGCTTGAGACTCAGAGCTCTGAGGGAAAGGCTTGCTTCAAGGTGAACATGACAAAGATCATCTCTTCGCACTGCCGGCGGGTCCCATATTCAAAGAGGCAGGAGAACAAGGGTGAGCCATCGGGTCCAACGCCCATGTACTGCAGATCCGAATAAGCACACAGGCCCCTGAAGAGGATGCTAGGTTTTGTCCAGTGTGTTGGATTTAAAGGGCTTTTGTTGAGGTAAATTCCTAAATCTTTTCGACCCTTTGGGTCTGTAGGGTGAGCATAGAGTAACCAACTGTCTTGGCACCTGGCATCAGGGGGAGGTGGAAAGGCAGTAACACTTCCATGGCATCCAAAGGGAGGTTCCACTAGCATTTCAACCCGCTGGCCTCCCTCGAAGTCCAGCCCGTGGTTGTAGCTGACGGCCTGGATTCGGGCTCCCCTGGTGCTCCTCGCGTTGCAGTACAGGACCTTCCTGCCACAGGTGTGCACCTCCGCTACCTGGCACTCCACCGCGCTCTCCTCGCCCACGAAGTTGCCCAGCTCCCACGTTGTGCCGTGGTCAGAGCTGATGAAGCAGAAGGCATGAGGGGTGGGGTGCTGCTTAGGGTCCAAGATACGATAGGCATAGGCGGGAATCACCAGGCTCCGGGCCTCGTTGAGCAACTGTAATCCGTGACCCGGCCCCACCGCAAACGTGGCCCAGTTCTTGTACTCGGTCCTGATGGTGCTGTCGGTGACATCCTGGGCAGCGCTCCAGGTGCGCCCTTGGTCCATGCTGGTGACGTAGCAGAGGCGTACCAGGTTAATCTTTGTCCTGAGCTGATGCTGCTCGGAGATCTTTCCTGGGACAGCTATGAAGAACAGGATCAGTTTCCTGGAGACCTCATCGTAAACCGGGCAGGGGTTCATAGATCGGTGGTCTTTCAGCTGTGCAGTGAAAATGGTCTCCATGTGATTCCACTGCCAGGGCCCACGTGAAGGGAGACAAGAACGAAACACACCATTACAAACAGATCCAAGTTAGAGTGCAAGGATGCCTGGACAAAAGTTACAGAAAAGCATGGGAAGAACAGAAGAGAAGCAGGTTAGTGGATAGAGCAAGAAATGGGAAAACAATAATCTGGCATCACCAAAGGTAAGTGAAAATTCTTTGGATGACACAAAGCACATGCACGTCACCAAGCAGGTGGGTTATGTCCCTTTTAATTACTACTCCCCGAGGAGCTGACAGCTCCATACCTCAATGCAGCTGGTGACTGATGACACAGTCTGGAAAGCTACAGGAGCTGAATTGTCAGAAATTCTCACAAATACATATTTGGCACGGACGTGCCCAGTGGTCAAAGTGTGCTGGTACAGACACTGTGCTGTGTCAGTGCTTCTTAAGAGGTCACAGAGGTACCCGAGCCCTTTGCAAGTATCCTGGATGCTGACAAATTCCTTTCCATTCAAACTGCTATTCCTCCACTGTGATCCATGTGTGATGGGCATCCCAGCCTACACTGAGGACCCTTGCTGGGCTGATTGCATGGCTTTCCATGCTCTGGTATGGAGATTTGGGCCCTGAGCTGTCCGATTCAGAAAAGAGCAGGTATAACTACCCTGCAAGCCCTGTCTTTCTTTAAATGAATAGCACCTGACACAATCACATTTCTAACACTAACATTGCTATTAGAAAATTATGCCTAAATAGTGTTATTGGCTTTGTAAAAGAAGCAGTGGTTTCCAGTAAGATTATACTAATTCGCTTTTCTGCCCTGAGTTGCTGATTACCCTTTTTGATCATGTTTTCTCTTTGTCTATTCAGCCTATATTAACTTTTCTTGAATATTTAATATTTCCATTTTAAGAAAATCTAACATGTGAACACAAATGACTAAGTTTATGACCAACTGAGCCCTACTTAACTGAATTACAGAGAGTTACACAAGATGCAACCTGAATGGTCTGATACTGCAGATGTGCTCAGAGGCTGCTTCTGCAAGGCAGAATCCAGCTCTTAGGAGTGTACAATCAAAGACAACTAATGAAGGTTTGGAACACAAAAATATAATTACTTTTCCCCCCCCCCAACACATTTATGCCTTTGCAAATGCAAACAAATTACTATAAATAGAATATCCACCACCCCCAGCCACCCAGCAGGATAACTGTTAATAATAACTGGTAGGTTAATAAAGTAGCCAATTCCCTGGCACCAACACACCAGACAACCCTCTTTTGCGTGGGGAGACTTGCTGTTCTCAATTGTTTTTTAAACCAGAAATTAGTATTAAGATGATGAATTAAAAACAAAAAAAATAGTAACT